CACACACACATTTGCATACAGCCAGTCGTGGACATTGCATCATCCCGCATGACTCGCCATTCTGCACATCAGTGAAATATAGCTGCCAATCACCACAAACCTTGTTCTCTCTCAGGTTGGAAATTATCCTTCACATGTTGTCTAGTGAAACTCAGGAAAAACCCCACCTGATGTCCCTTTCCCTGCTTAAAGGTTTTGTTGTTTAGTTAAGTCGTTTCCGACTCTTTGTGACCCCATGGACCAGAGCACGCCAGGCTCTCCTGTCTTCCACTGCCTCTCGGAGTTGGGTCAAATTCATGTTGGTAGCTTTGATGATAGCTTAAAAGTTTACAATGTGTTAATTGCCACTATAAGCCTGCAGTTCTGTGCCTACTAACGGGAGTAAGCCTATAAAATGGAATTGATTTATGTCTGGGTAGACATGATTATGTCTGGGTAGGTACACGATCCACCTGGAGCAGGAATTGGCAAGCCATTCCAGTATCTTTGCCAAGAATACCCCATGAACAGGAACAAAAGGCTAAAAAATATGACATTGGAAGATGGCCCCTCAGGTTGGAAGGTGTCCAGCATGCTACTGAGGAAGGGCGGAGGACAGGTACAAGTAGCTCCAGGGCTAATGAAGTGGTTGCACCAAAGCCAAAAGGATGCTCAGCTGTGGATGTGCCTGGAAGTGAAAGGAAAGTCCGATGCTGCACAGAAAAATACTGCATAGGAAACTGGAATGTAAGATCTATGAACCTTGGTAAGGTGGATGTGGTCAAACAGGAGATGCAAAAATAAACATTGACATCCTGGGAGACAGTGAACTAAAATGGATGGGAATGGGCAAGCTCAATTCAGACGATTATCATATCTACTATTGTTGTCAAGAATCCCATAGAAGAAATGGAGTAGCCCCTCATAGTCAACAAAATAGTGGGAAAAGATGGACTGGGATACAATCTCAAAAATGATAGAATGATTTCAATATGAATCCAAGGCAGACCTTTCAACATCACAGTAAACCAAGTTTATGCACCAACCACCTATCCTGAAGAGGCTGAAATTGACCAATTCTATGAAGACTTACAACACCGTCTAGAACTGACACCAAAGAAATTATAGGAGACTGGAATGCTAAAGTAGGGAGTCAAGATATAAAAGGAACAACAGGTAAGTTTGGCCTTGGAGTTCAAAACAAAGCAGGGCAAAGGCTAATTGAGCTTTGTCAAGAGAACAAGCTGGTCATCACAAACACTCTTTTCCAACAACAAAAGAGGTGACTCTACACATGGACATCACCAGATTGGCAATACTGAAATCAGATTGATTATGTTCTCTGCAGCCAAAGATGGAGAAGCTCTATACAGTCAGCAAAAACAAGACCTGGAGGTGACTGTGGCTCTGATCATCAGCTTCTTATAGCAAAATTCAAGCTTAGACTGAAGAGAGTAGGAAAAACCACTGGGCTAGTGAGGTATAATCTAAACCACATCCCTTATGAATTACACAGTGGAAGTGAAGAACAGATTTCAGGAACTCGATTTGGTGGACAGAGTGCCTGAAGAACTATGGATGGAGGCTTATAACATTGTACAGGAGGCAGCAAAAAAACAGAAGACATCAAGAGGAGGTGGCAAGAATACACAGAGGAATTATACCAGAAAGATTTGGATATCCTGGACAACCCAGGTAGTGTGCTTGCTGACCTTGAGCCAGACATCTTGAAGAGTGAAGTCAAGTGGGCCTTAGAAAGCATGACAAACAAGAAGGCCAGAGGAGGTGATGGCATTCCAGTTGAACTATTTAAAATCTTAAAAGATGACACTGTTGAGGTGCTGCACTCAATATGCCAGCAAGTTTGGAAATCTCAGCAGTGTCCAGAGGATTGTAATATATATATATAAAATATATATCCCATTCCCAAAGAAGGGCAACGCCAAAGAATGCTCCAACTACCGTACAGTTGCACTCATTTCACACACTAGCAAGGTACAAGGTGGGCTTCAGCAGTATATGGACTGAGAACAACCAGAAGTACAAGCTGAATTTCGAAGGGGCAGAGGAACTAGAGACCAAATTGCTAACGTGCTGGATTATGGAGAAAGCCAGAGAATTCCAGAAAAACATCTACTTGTGCTTCATTGACTATGCAAAAGCTTTTGACTGTGTGGACCACAACAAACTATGGCAAGTCCTTAAAGAAATGGGAGTGCCTGATCACCTTGTCTACCTCCTAAGAAATCTATATGTGGGATAGGAAGCAGCAGTTAGAATTGGATATGGAACCACTGATTGGTTCAAAATTGGGAAAGGAGTACGACAAGGCTGTATATTGTGTCCCTGACCCCCCTGTGCACTAGAGGATTGTGGGAGGAACACCTAGCCCCTGATGGGGGTCCTGCAGGGCACCCCAAAACACTGAGGAGCTCTCTTGGCCTCTGGCAGGACTGGGGCTATGCAGCCCTGTACTGAGTGGGAGGTGCAGCCAGGGGTCACCATGACTTGGGGGGTCAAGGGACAGAAGGGGGCAGGAGATGCAAAGGCCATTCCAACTCATACCTTGTAGGGGAAATACCATGTTGTAAAAATGGTTTTCCCAGGGAGAGGCTCATCTATTGCACTTTGGGTGTGCTGTTGACCCCTGTGTTTTCACCAAATGTGGGGAACTCAACTGCATAATTTCAGAAGGGGGCAGGAGATGCAAAGGCCATTCCAACTCATACCTTGTAGGGGAAATACCATGTTGTAAAAATGGTTTTCCCAGGGAGAGGCTCATCTATTGCACTTTGGGTGTGCTGTTGACCCCTGTGTTTTCACCAAATGTGGGGAACTCAACTGCATAATTTGTGTTAATGGGAAATTGCACTTTTGATTTCCCTGGTTTTTCTAGATTTCTTTTCACCTCTCTTTCTCCTCATCAGGACCTATTGCAAGGACAGCAAGTCCTGGTGATGTCTTGTATTGCATTCTTTTTCTTTTTCTCCCCTGTGGTAAAGGATCAGGGCAAAAGGAGTCATTATCAGGAGTCAGGGGGCTACTTTGACTCCTTTTACCCTCTTTGTTGCTGGAGAGAGAAAGAGGGGGAAGGCTATCTGAGACCCATTGAATTTCCAAAGGCAGTGCAGGTGAGGGGATTGCTTTTCCCCAAGATGGTATGGGGAACTGTGTTTTGCAAGACGATGTTTTCTATGGACATTTTCCGCAAGACAGTGATTTTTACCCCAATTGGAATGCGTTAAATGGATTTCAGTGCATTCCAATGGGGAACTGGGTTTCACATGACGATGTTTTCACAAGACAGCGATTTCCATGTAACGAATTAAAATAGTCTTGCAAGGCACCACTATACGTGATATGAAAGGATCACAGAGAATGCTAGTTTTTGTTATTTGGATTGTATGTGGCCATATGTTTCATTATCCATTTTTCAGAATACAGAACCTGTTTTGCCTTCCAGGAGTTTTGGACATCAGCTCCTAGAAACCCCTGCTGTAGTGTATAATGGTCAGAGGTGTTGTCCAAAACATTTGGAGGACTAAATGTTGCCCAACCCTGTTGACAAGAGGTTGAATACAATGGATTCTGAATCCTTTTGATTTTACAGTGTAGCTGCTAGTCTTTTGCTGCAGGGTAACAATATAGAACTTAATGGAAAGGTTTATGTTTCCTTCACAGACTGTGGGCCATCTTGTAGCTGCCGTACAGAAAGAAAATGTTTTGCCTAACAAGATAAACCAGTCCACTCACCAGGTTTGTTCCTTTGCTTTTGCTTTTTCTCTCCTGCATCACCTTGAAATCTGCTTATGTGAAATGAAATAATTGGTAATCAGTCCTGGTTATGTTCCCTTCTTTTATGGCTGATAGGAGATCCTTCTCAGGGTGTAAAGGAGCCAAAATTGAGCCCTTGATATTTTCAAACACCATAATGCTAATGACAGATTCTCTGGAGAGAGCTGGGTTTGTATGTACCATGAATCCTTTAAGACTGCATGCCAGGGAAATTTTCAACATTTCCCTGTCCTTTTAATAGTTCTTTTTGGATTCGATTTAAATAACATTTAAAAAAACAGATTTTTTTTACCATTTAAATCAGAAAATAGCTTTAAAATTAAATTGTAGTTTAAATCAATTAGATTTTTAAAAATCGTTGATTTTTATCTAGTTTGCATGGCTTTCTATAAGGTGTAAAATTATAATTCCTGTATGAAGTTGTTTAACAATTCTTGGGCCTCTACTGAAAAAGCTTCTCCTTCTGCTGTGAATGACTGCATACCAGTAAAGGAGAGGGGGATCATGAAGGTATCTCTCTAGACAGAAATAATGTGTGATTCCAGTGTCCTGAGTTATACATATACGAAACCAGAGAAATCTGCTAGAATTTGCAGTCTTCTCATCAGCAGCCTCATGTGTTTAAAACATGACTCATTGGGATTTAGAATCGAATGTCCTGACTATGTCCTCACATGGTAAATGGGGCAATATGAGCATTTTCTTAATGAGAGATGGCATATATTTTTGTAAATGTCCAGAACTTGAAACTGTGCTGACTGGTGCCTTATTGCACAAATAATAAACAAGTTGCAGCACTGGATTTGCTGTTTGTTTTTTGATCAGTGTACACATGGTCATAGTAGGGAAAGGGGGGGACCTTATGAATTTTGTCTGAGGGATTTTGCCCAAATTGGTGTGAACATCATGAAAAAAGCCATTGAGGATGTCTCATTTTCCTGCTTGAGTGTAATATTTTGTATCCTCCTTGCAGGGCATTGAGAATTTTCAACTAGCTGACTCACTGTGTTGAGATGGCCTCTTTCAAACTAAATCTGCATTTTTAAAAAAACATCCTTACCTAGATTTGAAGAATTCAAGCAACCCAGGTGGGAGGTATAAGAGCAACGCTTCGGATGAAGAAACAACTAGGTTACAGTTACAGAGAGAGATTTTCTTTTAACAAAACTTCATTCCTGTTTTTACTCAAACAGCATTTTAAGCTAGATGTTGTGCAGGCAGATTTTTGCTGTATTTGCAATTCTGACAGCTTGGGTTTGTTTCTCCTCTGTTTTGGTTTTTAGACCCCTGCCTTGAACTTGCTCTGGGAAAAGTGCTGCAGTGACAATGTGGTTGTCAGGACAACCTGCTGTGAGGAGCTTGTGACTCTCGTGGTACAGGATCATGCAGAATTCACCTATGTTCTTAATGGAGCTCTCAACTTGATTCCTTCTGCTAGGTAATGGTAGTTTTTGTCACTTGATGATTAGGTTCTCCAAGCCTCTAGATTATTCTTCTGAGTGGATTTACTCAGCACCCTTGTTCTTGCAAGGTGTGGTGTTCATCCAGTCCTGACTGACTAGAAGCATGCATTTCCAGAGCTTAGAAAAGTTACTTTTTTAGAATTTGACTTTTAGAATCCCTTAGTTAACCTGCTAAAGCCTTCCCATGTCAGGATTTTGTTCTTTTGGTGAACAGGGAGTTAAATTTTAATATTGTAATGAAAGTGCAGAGTCACAAATGTAAAGTAAAAGCCAATGTAATGACTAACAGCATGCAGGTGAAACAAGCTGATGCAATGCATGTTTGTTAACCAAGACGAGCTGTAATGGTGAAATGTGATTGGTTGTTCTGGTTATAAATGTAACAGAGACAGAACAGACCTTTGCCACTCAGCAGTAAGTTTGGTGGTCATTTGCTTCTATGTGAATATTGCTCTCAATGTTGTTATGCCAAATGTATCTTGCCTTGTATATATGTTTAGCCATATCCAATATACTATATTATAATCACCAAGAACTCTCTCATGTCATTTTTTCTCCATGTCTAAGTCTCTAAGTCTCTTACTTTGCTATTAAAATGGGAGGAATGGAAGCAGTCTGATAAGAGGCTCTGTATAACCAGTGTCCTTAGTTTCAAGGACACTGGTTGTACAGAGTGCTCTTGCCAAGCTTCACATTCAACTGGACTCTAAGAAGTTTTCTCGAGGCCAGAGCCTCATTAAGCCTCTGGGAGCCCCACACCAACATCGCAGTGGTTGGATTCTGGGAACAGTAGTCCAAAAAACCAAACTCTGAACATATCTGTGAAGATTCTCAGTCATCCAGGTGAAGTTATCTGGAAGTTGAGTCATGACTACTAGACTTCATTCTTGTTAGGTTGAAACGTTTTGCTACTCATGGAAGTAGCTTCTTCAGTCTGATGAGAGTTGGTAGGAGATCCCCGATATATCCTCCCCATTGGTTTCACTTCCCCCTGAATAGGCTCATTAGAAGGATAAAGGACTAGGGGTGAGGGAAAATCCCATTTCTGCAGTCCTTCTCCACCCATTGTCATGGGTTGTTAACGGTCGGTAACAGTGGTCTTTCTGGTGTGTGTGGTCCTGATCTTCCTGTGGATGGATGAAAGGGCAGCATGATAAATAGGAGGAGATTGTATCTAAGGCCTCCACCCCTTTTGAGTGAGGGATTTTCTTTATGCACATGTATGGCCTCCCTCACCCCTCTCTCAAACCACCTAAAAACTCTAAGCAATTCATAGAAATGGCTGCATATTGAGTGCATATTATGCATTCAGTGCTTGTAATGCATTACTCTATTTAATTCCAACCAAGAGCTATTTCTGTAGATCAGAGTGAAAGATAAATGCATACTTGTACACCTTGTTTTTCTTTTTGTGTTCTTTAATTTGAATGAGGCACATGATGGTGAAGGCAGGGGAATAGAGTGTATAGGTAAATAAAAAAAGGAATTACAGTTATGGTGAAGTCATCACTTAATCAATTGCAGGCTTCTTGCATAGAGAACACAAGATTGTTTTCTTGCTCAAGGCCAATAATTTGGTTTTCGACCTGTGCTGTATTATGGGGTCATTAGAATGACCCTGGAGTTAGTTTCCAAGAGTTGTATCATTCAAACCATATTTTTATCTTGTCTTAACTTTTGCAAAATTACTTTTTAATGCCTGTCTTCATTTAGTAAAAATCCCACTGCCAACCATACCCAACAAACCCTCATGTAATTTGAAGGTACTCAGATGAAATTTCTGTCTATATACCTAGTTCTATACCTAGATCTGTTTTAAGGAATACTGTATTCTTTTAAATTTTTTTAAAGTATTCATTTTCTGCTAGTGGACAATATGAATCAAATTTAAGACTTGACGTATGGCATGGCATATACTAAAGTGGTTGGGGTTAATATGTAAAGATGCACATCAGGAAAAAGGTACTTTTGGGGGCTACAAATTTCAGACTCTTTCAGCCCATGTGGCCACCAGACGTACTGGACTGGGAATGGTAGTTCCTGGGCATAATAGTCCAAAAATGTAACTTTACAAAACTCTGATAAAAACAGTATATGTATGTATGTATGTATGTATGTATGCATGCATGCATGCATGTTTTAGTTGAATTACGCTGCACAGGATAACATGGTCATGTACTATCCAAGTGTTTTTTGTCAATTTGTTTCCTGGAGTGCACTAGGTTTCCTTCTTGGGAATAACATTCATAGTAAACAGCTATTCCAAAAAGCTTCTTTTAGTGTCTCAGTGGATTGTTTGGAACTAGTTGCCTCTTCCTTTTGAGAACTGCATATTGTGGTTGTGGGTTTGATCCTCTTCTCTTTTGTGTGTGCTTTCAGTTTGTGGTGTATGCTGGCTAGGCGTGAGAGGCCTATACAGAAACAGGCTTGGTTCAGGAACACTAAGCTTGTGCCACAGAATTGAACTAGCAGACTCTTATGGTTGAAAGTTCTTTCATACAAATCAGTTCCTGCACAATGCAAATGAAATCAAATGTTCTAGAAAGAATTCTAATCTTGTGTTCTCCCTGCTAGATTTCATTGTGTAAGAACTGTGGTATTCGCCCTTGTGGTCTCTGCTTGTCTTTCCCTCACAAAGGCTCACGTCACGTTCTCCTCTCGCTGCCACCAGTGGATTACCTCGATCCACAATATAAATTACGTTTGTCAGAACACTTGTCTTGTGAACTGAAACAGAACTTATTTATTGAAGTGAAGCAGAGTGAATAATAACAGAAGTTTCTCAGATAAACATTATATACAAGCAAGTCATCAACAATTCTCTCAGTACATACTTTTCTCTTGCAATATTACCACCTTCTCTACCTATTTTCTAACCAGCCCTATATCTCCCAGTCCCCCCTCTCTCTGACTAACCAGCCCTATCTGACTCCTCCTTCTCCCGCCAAGCCTCATGTAGCTGCTGACTCTGCCTCTCCAGTCCTCTCATAGGCTCATGCAAATAAGCTCATGAATATGAATGGCATGAGTGTTGTGGGCGATTGTCACATTCCTCCCCTCTAAGAAAAAGTTTGTTTCATGAGGGAAAACCTTACAGTTTACCCTTATGAACAACAGAACATACAGGGAACATTTCATGCAGAACACCATCATAATAATATGCTTACCAGTTATGTCCTAAATCATATACCATATTTCAACATATAACACATCATATTTACCATATACAGTGGTGCCTCACACAGCGAGGGTTAATCCGTCCCGGATTAACCCTCGCTGTGTGAAACATCGCTGAGCGGGGCAGAAAAGCCCATTGGAACGCATTAAACATCGTTTAATGCGTTCCAAATCGGCTGAAAACTCACCGTTCAGCGATGCTTCCGGGGTGCGGCAGCCATTTTCGCGCCCTCCCCTTGCTGAACGAGGGCACGAAAATGGCTGCGATCAGCTGTTCCGCGGCTTCAAAATGGCCGCCGGAACAGCCGAAAGGGCCAGGCGCAGCGTTTTCGCGCCCTTGGTAAGCAAGGGGAGAGCGCGAAAACGCTGCACCCGGCCCTTTCGGCTGTTCCGGCGGCCATTTTGAAGCCGCGGAATGTGCCATCGCATTAGCGATCGCAAAAGTGTCCTCGTAGAGCGAATTCATTGCTCTACGAGGTGCTCGTTGTGCGAGGCACCACTGTACTTATACATACCTTATACTAGTTTTCTCTCTATTACTATGTTTACTAGATCAAACTTATTACTTTAAACATTTAAAACAATCAATGCAATTATAAACATTTGCAATACTCACATTAAGACAGATCACATTACCTCTACTCTATTTCCCATCATTATACACCTCACAGTTCATCAGCATTCAATGAGACATTTCATTTTTAATTGCATTCCGTAACTAATGCACAAACAGAACATTTAATACTACATTACACTCTTTTATCCCTCCATTAGTCATTTGGCCTTCGAGACCAGGCGTCAGCAACCATATTCTGAGTCTTTTTTATGCTGAGGATCTCAAAGTCAAAGTCTTGGAGGTTCAGTGTCCATCTTGAAAGCTTACTGTTAGTGTCTTTCATAGTTTGTAGCCATGCCAGAGGGAAAGGGTTAGTGCAAAGGATGAACTTCCTCCCCTAAATGTAAGGCTTCAGTCTTTGCAGCGTCCAAACAGTTGATAGGCACACCCTCTCGATGGCAGACCAATGTCTCTCACCAGGTTGGAATCTCCTGTTGATCGGAGTCATAGGGTGCAGATTCCTGCTGTCATCTGCTTGGCACAGCACAATCCTAGATGTATCCACACAGATTGTGAACCCCCAGTTGTTGTCCAGCACAACAAAGGCAGATACTGAAGTCCGTGCTCTCTTCTGTTGAATGACAGCTATCAGGCATTCTGAAGTTCATTGGATATCCTCAGCTCACCTCTTCCGGGTTAAACCTGTTCTCTTACTGAATAGTGGCTTAATTTTCTCAGCTGTGGGAAGGTTAGACAGTTTCTTTCCCGTCTCCAGCACAGCTATGACTGTGTTCTTCCTTGAGATCTTATTGCTTATGCCTTCCTGCTCACCAACAAATTCCCGCACAAGTATTTTTGTTGCAAATTTCTCCATATGTAGGGGATCACTATCATGGCTCACCTCCAAATTCACAGGCATGTTTCTTTTAAGTGTGGTCTAAAACACTTGGTTTATTTTAGATGCATTGAGATTTTCATTATCTGGTTCTATATCTTTAATATTTGGTTTCTTAGATAGCAGTTTCCATTGCAGGGTTTTAAGGGGTTCTGCAGCTGCAGAGCGACTAGACTTCTCAGACCTCCAGTTCTGCTGTAACATATCCACAAGTTCTGACCCTGCTAACTGCAATTCACTCCCCTCTATGAGTTTCAGCCTCACCACTTTGTCCTCAGGACAGAATGCTCTTTCCTGGACCTCATACAGGCCTTTCTCCTTTTCAGGAGTACCCCCCCAAGCTTGGCTCTGCTAATTCTAAGGACATTTCCCTATATTTTACAGAGACAAATAGCTGTTTGTGGGGTCCTCCCCCTCTATGAGGTGCCTTTAAAACCTCTCTATATGTCAGGTTTTTATCAGTTATAAACCTCTCTGGGTTTTCAGGGATCAGTGGAAGGGGATTCTCATTGGCTTTTGTAACAGAATCATTTAAAGTTCTATCTTCCTTCTGCTCATCAATACAGGAAGTATTATTAGGATTCTCCAATATGACCACCTCAGCCATTTCTGCTATCTGAGAGTTTTCCTCTAAACTGGGACATCATTCAGGATTTTCAGGGGTCAGTGGAATTTCCTTAACTTGCACAAAACATTCATTTAAGGTAGGGTCTTCCTTTTGTTCTTTGATGAAAGATAGATTCTTAGGGTTTCTCAGAATAACCAGATCAGCCGTCTTTCTCACTTCTCTTATTTCGGGAAGATTTCCATCATTTCCCTCAGTGGCTTCAGTTTGCCTTCCCTGAGAGCGAGTTGTCACAAAAACCCTCTGCACATGCACGGCTAAATCCAGACCTATTAAACACGGGGCAGGAATTTGATCAGATATGGCCACCTTCCAAACTCCTGATCGTCATTTATATCTCATTGGTATTTTTCCATGGGCAGCACCACTATTTCAGAACCAATCCCTTTAATAGAAATATTTTCATAGTCTAACATACTTTCCTTAGAGACTATATCAGGGTGACATACTGTAACTTGTGAACAAGAATCTTTGAGCGCTAGATACTTGCTATTATCAACACAGATAACATCTGAGCTACGTAGAAAAAGATTTTGATTACTTTTGACCAGAAAGCACTAGACAACAGAATGATACTTTTGGAGAGCTTTCTTCGATGTTTTTCCTTGATGTTTTGCCTCAACTTCGTCAGTAAAGCACAGTGATATTTTGCATTGATGGTCAAACCCCGTTGGAGGTAGTCCACCAGCAGAACTCCCTTATTATCCCCAAAAATTGTTGCCATTTGCTTCTGCACCGACCTTTGCACTTGGAATTTCTTTGGCCTGGGGGAACCACTGTGCCTCCATTCCTTAGATTGTTCCTTTGTCTTAGGATCATAACAGTAGATCCATGTCTCATCACCAGTTACCGGTTTGCCCAGGAAATCTGACTCATTTCTTGCAAAATGTTCCAAAACAGCTACCGATGACTCCACATGTTTCCTCTTTTGTTTGGCTGTCAAAAGTTTGGGGATCCACTTTGCTGCCAGCTTTCTCATTTCCAAGTCATTGTGGATAATGGCATCAACTCTCCCACGTGATATTCTCAGATATACATAGCAATACTTTTGGCTGATATTCAGCGGTCCTCCATGATCATGTCATGGATGGCTTTCACATTTGCAGGCACAGAGACAGAAACAGGCCTTCCACTGGATTTCTCACTTTCAACACCGAAATGGCCAGTTTTAAAATTGACAACCCAGCGTTTAACTGTTGCATATGAAGGGCCACTGTCACCTATAGTTTGTGACATTTCATCATGGAAGTACAGCTCCTCCCCCTGATGTCCCGCCTTCCACTCCCCATAGGATGGAACTTTCCCTCCAAACCCATGACAGACAGGTACCATCAGTGCTGTATGTAACACCGATTAATCCCATAACCAGTGGTTTTTATTCTATTTTTATTCCATTTTGGTTTTTTTCTGGTCTATAAGTCGATTCTCTGGCTGCAAGTCGAATCTAAATTTTGCAGCCAGAGAAGTCTGTAACTCAAAAAGTCTGTAAGTCGAGCTGTCTGTAAGTCGAGGGTCCACTGTAGTTGATTTTTGCACCGTTGAATATAGACAAATTGGCCAATACACTCTGAAATTTATAGCTTCCTAGCTCAATTTTTTCTGGGAAAGGCTCAATATCAGCACCCTCTCGTAGGGGAAATGCAAAAGTGGTGAGAAAAGCATGTACTATGACAAACAGCAGTCTTTCAGAACTTGAGGAAGCATAATCTGTAATGATGTGTGAACTACATTAATTTGCCCTTTTTTTGAGTAGAACCTATGTGTGCAAAATGCATTATGTGTAGAGGAAGAGGACTCCTTTTCGTTATTCGACTGATTGGTATTATACATGTTGCACATTTTGTACATAGATCATAGGCTGATGAGAAAGTCTTGGTCTGGAAAAAGCAAAGGTAACTGTGTTGGCCACAAGAAAAATTTTGAAACTTGCATTTCAATAACACTCTTATTAGGTCAGTCAAAATATGTGCAATGTTTTGAGGCTTCTGCATCTCTTTATCAAGCGCAATGGTGCCTGAGATGGATGTGTGTGAATAAGACCCTGACTTCCTAATGAAGTCATGATGTCTGCATGTTGTCTTGAGATGGATTGAGATTTGAAGGTAGTTGTTGCCTACCACAGCAACATAATCCAGCTACACACTTTAGTGAGACAGGAAGGCACAGGCCCATCATGCATAACTAGTATGTTTTAGTCAGAGCTGCTCACTTCAAAGAACCTTTCTTTTTGAATCAGTATTTTGTTACTGACATGCAATTCCAGGCAAGAAAATGATGTAGGAGGCCTCATTGATGCTTTCCTTGGAGAGCAGTGCTGATGTTAACATGTCTTCTTTGTGATTTTGATAGGAATGTCCATGGTTTGATAAACATCATTGTAAAACTACTACAGATGCAGGCCCTGAAGGTGATGAAAAATCAAGAGGAAAAACAGTTGGAGCTATATGCAATCAGGTATGCTTCAAGTAATTTAATTTATGAGTTCTCTTTTGGAGGGTAATAATATGTAAATTATTAGTAGGTGTGGATATTTTAAGGGGAAAAAAAAACACTACAATCATTCACAAAGGAGTGGGAGTGTCTGTGAGAGCCTGCCTGTTAAATATTCTACAAGGTGGTGCTGATCCTTGTTCCCTCTTGGGATTTCTGTTCTGCCTTTTCTTTGGGAAACGCATTTGAGGAAGAGAGGTGTGCCAAGGTTACCTGGATCAGAGAGCTAACCGTGCTAACCACTGAGCAACACTACCCTGTTTGTCCTCGGGTGGGTGAAATCCATGAGGGCCAAATGCGCTGATGGCTGGGGGAAATCTTCCTGCCTGCTACTCTCGCAGCTTATAAAAGACAGAGATATTAAAATTTTATCAGAAATACAAGCTAAGAAAAAAGAACCACAGGATATTGAAACAAACGATTCAGAGAAATTCAGTATATATGAAAAGAGAATATTTTGAATTTAGTAATAAAAATTCTAGAGTGTTGGCTAGAGCCTCACAAACAAACAAACAAAAAATCAAAGAGTGTAATTGGAATGGTTAGAGATCAAAATGGTGTAAAGGGAAATTTAATGAAACAAAAATTGGAAGTATTTCATAAATATTTTAATAAACTTTATAAAAGAGGTAAGCCTATTAAAACATGGGGAAAAATATGAGAAATTAACTCCAAGAGAGTGATAGAGATTTAATGGAGCAGTTAGTGAAAGAAGAAGAAATAGAAGACATTGTTAGTAACTTAAAAATTGGGAAGACACCAGGCATGGGTGGATCATAAATATTATTACAAAATTAAAAAGGTGTTGATACCAAAGTTGAGATTGCTATTTATGAAAGGAGAGGAAATTCTAGAGTCTTGGAAGCATTCACTGATTATATTAATTCATAATCTAATAAGGGTTTGTCTGATCAAGTGCTTATAGGCCTATTTCCTTAATAAACGAAGAATGAATAATTTTATTGGTAAATATATAAAAGAGGATTGGAGTGCTTTTATAGTAGAGAGATAAATGGCAGATTTGACTAGAGTATTAAATATAATACATATTATTGACCAACAGAGTGAAGGCGGGAATTATATCATTGGATATATTCAAAGCATTTGATTGTGTGGAATAGCCAGCATTAAAAATGTTGATAGGTATATTAGGATTTGGGAATCATTTAAAAATGTGATAAATCAACTTTATTCAAAGAATACTGCCACATTTCTAGTAACAGATTAAATATCCCTAACAGATTAAATATCCCTAGGCCGAGGTACTAGGCAGGGATGTCTCCTTTCCTCAATATTATTTGCATTAGTTACAGAGATATTGGCAAATGTTTTTAGACAGGATAGAGGTATAGGTAGGGAAAATAAGATTAATATTAGCTTATTCGCGGTTGACACATTATTAACAATAGAGGATCCATTGAAGGTTATGGATTAGGTTAAACTACATCTGAAAGAATTAGAGGAGGTGACAGGTGTACAGATAAATTGGCAGAATCTGAGATGATGTTTAATTATGTTAAGATGAGGAAGAAAGAATTAGAAGGAAATTTGAGATTAACATATGCAAGAGTAAAAAATACAGCGGTGCCTCAATTTACAAACTTAATCCTTATTGGAATGGTGTTCGTAAGTGGAAATGTTTTCCCATAGGAATGCATTGAAAACCGATTAATCCATTCTGTCTGAAGAAAAAAATCACCAAAATAAATAAATAAAAAGAACAGAGCAAGCCGGTCGGAAGGTGCTTCGTTGCTGAGGTTTAAGAAGAAAAAAACTCCAAAAACAAACACTAAAGCCACCTCTGTTGCTGAGGTTTAAGAAGAAGAAAAAAGTCCATAAACAAAAAGTAAAGCCACCTCCATTGCCGAGGTTTAAGAAGAAAAAAAACTCCAAAAACAAAACCTAAAGCCACCTCCGTTGTTCAAGTTTAAGAAGAAAAAACCTCCGAAAATAAAGAGCAAAGCCACCAACAATACAGCACAGAAACATACCTACCCCAGCCAAAACCCACCCAGAACAGTTTTTTTAAAGGAGAAAACAGCAGCTTACTTCCCTGCAGACACAGACACGCTCACTCCGAAGCAGAAGGAGGCAGCCCCAAGCCTCCAATGACGACGACACACTCTAACTGCCGAAAATGAAAGATCTGCAGTACAAAGCCTCGTTGCCACCTACACTTAGAAATCTGAATTGCCCGCCTTTTTGCCCTGACTGTTTCTGTACGTAAGTGGAAGCTCCGTTCGCAAGTAGAGGCAAAATGTTGTGACCGGAGCTGTTCGTAAGTGGAAATGTTTGTAAGGAGGGATGTTCGTAAGTCGAGGCACCACTGTACCTAGGTTTAAATACTACCAAAATTATTATTAAAAAAAGGAAATAAAATTTTGATAAATGAAACCACGAAGTTAAAGATGATTTAAAGGAGTTAAGAAGAATTGAATTATCATGGTTTGGAAGGATAGCAATGTACAAAATGGAAATATTACTTTAAATTTTTTATTAATTTTTTATTCATGATGATACCAATGAAGCTGTTGGAGGAAGAGTTGAAAGATTGACAAAATATAATTAATCAGTTTTGGTGATAAAAAAGCAAGGCTTAATAAAAAGTACTGGTATAAACATCAAAAACTAGGAGGATTAGGTTTACCTAATATAAAATTATATTATATAGCTAATCAAATGAGAAGTCAAGGTTGGAATTTCAAGAGGTTGATGTGACGCACCCCTCACGTGTCCCCAGATTGTTTCCCTAGCCTGAGGCCCACAACACATTCTCTATTTTCTGCTGCCACCAGTTGACCTCTGTCAACACCTTTTAATTAGAATTATTGAGGTCCAAGCTTATAAAGCTGAACAACACAGGTTTATTGATGTTTGCTTAAACAGGTTCTTCACAGAATTCAATGTGTTCATTAGATTAGTAATAACTTGTTTCACTCTTAACTCTCTTTGCTCTCTATAAGTTCCACACTCTTAACTCCTAACTCTGCCACACACGCTAACTACCCAAACTCTCATCTCTGACTCTCACTGACCAAACTAACTAAACTCAGACTCACCCTTCTGATTTCTTCGGCTCCGCCTCCCAACAGCTCCCATTGGTGTGTGCAAACAACTTCCTACATGAGCCAAAGCAGGGTGACTACCGCAGTTGATAAGAACCCACAAAATATTTTCCCCCTACAAAATATTAGAATAAAAACTGGATGGGGGGGATGGGTAGAAAAGAGCAAATAATAGAAGTGGGTAGGAAGGGAAGAGTTGTCATGGCCATGCATATTCGTATATGAATATTCATATTTGTATATGAATACAAAGCCCCCCTGGCACAGATGGCCACCCTGATCGTCTCCTACCCTCAGACCCCCCTGGACCACTGCCAGAGTGGCTGGGCAAGTAGGGAGGAGGGGCTGCGGCAGCCAAGCTACTGCTGTGATTGACACACTAATGATGTTACCAGCAGCGCACATGGCTGGCGTCATCATCAGTGTGCTGATTGCAGCAGTACCTTGGCTGCTGCAACCCCGCCTCCCTGCTCGCCTAGCCATTCTGGCAAGGAGATGGGAGGACAAGTCTCCCTGCTCAGCCGTGGAATGGCTGGGTGAGCAGGGAGTTGCAGAATCTGCCAAATCACTTACTGCCAACGTGTGACGTGCAGTAAGTGATTTGGCGGATTCTGGGGATGGGAGATAATCAAGGCAGCCACCTGTGGCAGGGGACTTCATATTCGAATAGGACGCCACCATCTCTAGTCATAGCTTACTGTTATCCAGTTGGAGTATTGGACTAGAGAATGGGTAAGAATAAATGGTAATGTAGGGAATTTACAGAATTTCAAGAAATTGTATTAAAGACTGAAAAGGAAAGATGGGTGTAAAGCACTGGTCCCAACCTTTTTCAAACCATGGACCGGTTGAGGGAGCGGGGTCCATGCGTGGGTGAGAGGGGACCTGTGTGCACATGAATGGGTGGGATGCATGCATGAGTGGGTGGCACACCCATGTGCACTTGTGTGGGCCCCCCGTGCGTGGTTGTGGGGGTAGGCGGGGCACTTGTGTGCACGGGTGGGGGGCTATGTCTGCGTGCATGGGGGCGGGAGATCTGTCTCTGGCCTGGTCCTGCCAAGGCCACGGCCCAGTACCAGGCTGCAGACCGGGGGTTGGGGACCCCGGGTGTAAAGGAATGAAGGGGTGATAAATAACATGTAGCACATATTAACAGAAGTAAGAGATCAAGATGAGGTTTTAAAGATCCTACGGTAAATAGATTTTGAAGAGGAAATGTGTACTGAGAAATGGAAGAATATATGGAATGAAATAATTTTAAAGTATTTGTAAGAATGAAAGAAAATTTTTATAAATTGTTTTGGAGATGATGCTTAACCCCAGTGAAACTGAGCTATATGGATTAAAAATACTCCAAAGTATATTGGAGATATAAGAAAGAAGTGGGAGCCTACTTCTGTATGTGGTGGGAATGCAAATATATAATTAAAGTTTGGAAGTGGGTTTTTAAATAAATGAATGAAATACAGTGGTGCCTCGCATAGCGATGTTAATTCGTTCCAAAAAAAACATCGCTATGTGAAACCATCGCTATGCGAAACACCATTTCCCATAGGAATGCATTGGAAACCGGTTAATCCATTCCAATTGGAACGGATTGCCATCGTTACGCGAAAAAACCCATAGGAAACATCGCTAAGCGAAACAATGTATCCTCCATTGGAATGTATTGAAGCTGACTCAATACATTTCAATGGCTTTGCGAAGTCAATTTTTGCAATTTTAAATGTGTCATACAAGGGGCAAAAATGGGTTTAAATGCTTGGAATAGTTTCTGCACCTTCTAAAACGAGTGCAAATGTAATTTGGCTTAGATGTGACTTTTCGTTAATTTATGGTGATTTTTTTCTCCCCAATAGGAAACAATGGAGCTGTCAAAATTTGGGCTCCATGGATTTC